GGGAGGGTTAAAGGCGGAGAGAGGACCAGCTGAGGTTCGAGGCAACTGAGGGCCGAGACCTGTGTCCCTGGAGAAACGGGCTCGCCTGGGGCGCACACTGTAAAGCCTGCTGTGAAATGCAAGGTTAAATGAGCTCCCCTCGGATTCTACCGCGAATGCAAACCGGCGCGCGTGTTTGTACGTGTGCTTTTTAATCGTGCTGATTTGCCCGAAGAAAGACAAGTCTAGGATACGCTCCTGTGCACAACGGAACCCTCTCCACACTCTTTGGCTGTAATAAGGATGTTCGCTATGGAATTGGGGCTCAGTGCTGCTTATGCTACTTATTCTCGAAGTCTCTTTCATACCGAGCTCCTCTGCCAGGGGCTTGAACGAAGTAACTTGCGTAAATATGCTCAGAGTTCACTTGGTTCGTCTGCTTTGCGCCGGGCATCGTGCTTGGTGCAGGGGCGATCGGGAGGACACAGCTGACCCCGGAGGGCTCAACCCCAATAATTTGCTGATCTGCACGTGCATGCCGGGCTTGGCTCGTTTTGTTTGGTTTCTCCTATGATAGCACAATGCCGTAGACAAAAATCGTCCAAAGTAATTTATTGCGAGGTGTGGGGGCAGAGGAGGAGAGGAATCGCTGAAGCAGCCCCTGGGCGGGCCGGCTGGTCAGCGGCACGCAGGGAGTTAAAGGGATCAACCTGGGCGGAGCCCGGCGCTGGGGGCGGGCCTGGGAGCCGCTCCGCCATTGGCTGTTCCGGGGAAACGTTATAAACAAAGCCTCTGGCCAATAGAACTGCGGGGTCGACGCTAATGGCTTGTGGGCCGTCCAATGAGCGGAGACATTGGAGGAACCCGGCCGCTTTCAGCGCCGAGAGCGGCTGTGGGCGTGGCAGGCGGTTCGCGGCGCGTCGGGCTCGGGCCGCGGAGGCCGCCGGCTTAGACCGTCCCTGCTCTGCTGTGGCCGTCGCGATGTTTTTCTCCCAGGCTGGGGCCCGGCCGCGGACGTGGGAAGCCAGCCCCGCAGAGCACAGGAAATGGGTGGAAGTAGGTGTCTGGGACTTTACCTTGCCCCGGAGCTCTCACGGCCGCCTCCCTCCCTGGGTCTTCCTGAGCCTCGTGGCCGAGACGGGACGGGGCCGTCCCTGCGAAGTGTGGGTGTTAGTGACTGAGCCCCGGGCTGCGAGGCTCGGGCTCCCTGCCGTGTGTTCTGGCTGCTTCTCAGTCCCCTCTTGTCCCCACACCGCCCGTTAACTAACCCGCGTCCCTCCCCCCGCCTTCCCCAGCGAGCGCCTTTGCCTGTTTCCAGGACCGAAGTTTGGGTTAGAAATGATCCCGAGAGTCTAAAGGAAAATGCACTTGCGTCCGGTTATCGATTAAGCCTTTGGAGCTTTTGAGGGGTGAGTTTGAGCCCAGCGTTAAGCTTTCTTGAGAATTGAAAAGTCAGGTAATGAAACTCCCGTTTCCCCGCCTGCTGGGCGGGCGGGGTTTTAGATTTCGGCGGTTCCAATTTAATATAAAGTAGTAATAAAGAAAATGACAGAACAAGCGTTCCTGGCCTAACGGAAGGTCTCGGATGTTCTCTAGGTGTTCAGAGCGTGTGACGAAGATAACAAAGGCTACCTGAGCCGAGAGGACTTCAAAGTTGCCGTGGGGATGCTGTTCGGGTACAAGCCCTGCAAGGTGCGTTTGCTTTTCTCGGGGCGTGGGGGTGGGGTCGGCCGCGCGGCGAGGCTCGCGCCGCATGGTGAGGGGCAGAGAGTGATGTTTATAAAGTTAATCGCTGCCTTGTAAGCAGCTTCAGAGATGTGCCCGGTGCTGAATTTTACTTTCTTTTCTTTAGACCCCAACTGAATTAGAAAGCTCCCTCCCTGGAGCCCATGAAGCATGCCTGCCAGCAGGCTGCTGATGATTAGAATAAATGTGAGATGCTAGAAAGGTGTCAAAAAGAGGAAAGGCCGGGAGGGGGAGTATTGGTAACAGGAGGAATTCATAGAGGAAGTGACATGCAGGATTTTAAAAATGACTTAACATGTCTTTTTGGGGTTTTTTGCTTTGCTTAAATTATAAAATTAATACATTGACATACTAAAAAACCTCAAACAGTGCAGAAAAGTGTAAAGGTGAATGTAAACCCCCCCGCCCCGCAGAGGGTCCCACTTCGGCGGGTTGCCATCATTTAGTTTCTTGCGTTATCAGTCCAAAATTTGCTACACATGACCAACATGTGCGTGCATAGCATTCTATTGGAAACGTAACTTTCCTTTTTTTGACTTAACAATAGCTGGACATAAAAAGCACACACCACCACCACATTTTAAAAAATAGCTGCATAGTATTTTCGTTAGTTTCCTGGCTTTGGTCGTTTAGATTTTTTTGTTGTTGTTCCTACAAACATTGCTGCGATGAACATCCTTTTATATCTGTATCTGTGCTTGGGCATGTACATCTGTGGGATAAATTCCTAGAAGTACAGTTCCTAGGTACTTAGGAAATTTTGCTGGATATTGGTCTCCAGGAAAGGTTGCATTAATTCACTAATAATGAGAGTTTAACGGAATATCAGTGAATCTGCTTTAGGACTCTGCCCGGAATGCCCTCGCTCATGCCCTCGTTAAGACCAAACAGCTTGACAGTCGCTTTGACCCATTGCTGCTCATGAGTGGCTCTATGTCAGATTACAAGCTCAGCGAGGCCAGGGACCAAGTGATGTCCCACTTCTCCAACCTTCATTGTGCTTAAACGCATCACAACTTCACAGTAAACTCGGTCTGCTGATGCAGATAGTTCCCATGAATACCTCAGGTGGGTTCCTAGAAGTTCAACTACTAGGGGATGTTCGATTACACTGAGAGGCTGATTACAGAGCTCAGAGAAGTAGGGCTGGCTCCCGGAAATTGCAGCTCTCCTGTTAACCTGCAATCATTTCAGCTGGAAAATTAAAGCAGATCAGCTAAGCAGACTCAGTCTTTGAAGACTGCACTTAACCTGATTCAGATGGAAAGATACCTGGCCTCCTGCCTTTATCACCCTGTGTCTACTTAGTTGGTTTTAATTTTAGAACCTAAGTGAGGAACTTAATGACAGGCACAGTGCTGTGATAACTTATGTATGTACATTTCATGAAATTTAACAGATTTTAGCTTTCGTTTTCATACCTGGTTGAGGTTTTGAATTTTATTTTTTAATCTAATGAAACGTTTATTGTCTGAAGATCACTAAACACTAAAGTTACTGATATAGCAAATCACCTATACACGTATCAATCATTTGTACAAGGAGGTTTTATTAGGTAAGTGACACTTAATGTGTACCCTGTGTGAAATTTCACAGGTTTTTACTTTTATACTGGGATGAGGTTCAGAGTTTTATTTTTGAGTATTGCTTTTGAGCAAATGAAATATTTACTGAATGCAGGTCATGAAGCAGCAAAGCACTTATGTAATAAATCACTTATGTACATATGCAGTTGTTTACATGATGAAATTTATTATGTTCCTATTTAATAAAAAGAACATTGCTACTTGCTAGAGATATAAAGGTGAATAAAACATAGACCCTACTTTGAAGCAGTTTACAATTCAGTGTAGAGACACTTATAAAACTCCGTGATAGATACTAAGAGAAAGACAGAAAGTGAAGGGGGCAAGGAGGAGGGTCTGAGCCTAGTGGCAACTGTAATAGGAGTCCGAGCGTCATTTAGAGGAGCTAGATCTCTGAGGGGCAGCGTCTGGGAGCACTTCGTGGTGGTGGGAGAAATTCCCCCCTTTTGATTGATTGGATGTGGTGGCGGTGAGAGAGTAGTGTGACACCAGGACTGAAGCAATTGTGATGCCACCAAGTAGGAAAACTTGGGAGTAGGTTTCAGAGGAAAGTCAGTGAGTTCAGATGGGGGCACATTAAGTCTGAGGAGGCTACGAGCGTGCCAAGTGCATTCGGTCATTAAATCCTGTGCTGGTGCCCTGTTATGGCGGTAAAGGTCTGCTCTCAGATTGTGCTGCCTCTTGGGTACAGGAATCTGAAACTGGGTGGAGAGGTGAGCGCTGGTGATAGATTGGGGACCCCTCAGTTTACAGGTGGTAGCTCAAAACGGGAGACTGGATAGCCTGCCCAAGAAGAGTAGCCAGAGTGTGAGGAGCAGTAGCCTGAGGCTAGAATATTGGGGAGTACCGACATTTAAGGGTAGGCAGGGGGCTCCATGAAGAAGATGCAGTAGGAACCTCTGGGGGAGGCAAGAGGAACCAGGAAAGTGCTGGGCACGCAATCCAAGAGATACCATGTCGGGTGCCGCCAAGGTGCTAATTCCATAATGTTTATACTGTGTTTTAATATTTAGTGAAAGCAGGTGGGGCCTATTGTAACAATTTCTGTATTTGTCTCAAACGGGAAGGTTACCTTTTGGGTTGTGCTGCCTGTGTGACAGCCAGGTTGATTTCCATGCTTAGACTGCTTTGGCCAATGTGGAGTCTGCAGCAGGTTAGCGTCTGGTATCTTGTAGATACCGAGGAAAGAGAAAAATGATCATTATAGCTGTCCTGCGACACCGCCTGTGTGCGGGCTCAACAGAGTTGCTTTCTCAGAAAATACACCCCTTCCCCACACCCCAGGAATTAAGAACTTGCACTGTGAAAACATTTGATGAAATTATATGCCCTGTTATTTTTTTTTCTTTTCTAGATAGAAGCTGATGCTGTGATGTCTTCAGTAAATTCAAACACTTCCGGTAATTAATAAAGTTAATGTTAATTTTTTAGTACTCTTATTTAGACATGCATGAAATATAGAGCAGATATAGAGCCTATAAAGCATTGGGTTTAAGCACATCTTTGTGTTCTGTTTCAGAGAAAGAAGTTTGGGTTCTTTTAATTTTGATGAATTCATGTATTTATAAGTGTATGTTTATTGTAGGAAAAATTCAAACCATTGAAAAGCATAAAGAAAAAAATGTTGCTTATAATTTCAATAGCCAATGGATGATCTGGGTTTTCTGACTTGAGCAGCTTAAGTGGCACTTACTGAAATGGGAAGGCTGGGGGAGAAGATTTCAGGTTTGGGGAGACCAAGAGTTCAGTTTTGAGAAGATTCAAGCAATGAGGTCAAGGCAGCCGGGCTATATGAAGGTGGAATTCAGAGCAAACCTGTGGGCTAAAGAAATAAATTTGGGAGTTGTCAGCGTGGAGAAGGCTTTTGAAGCCATGGGAATGGGCGAGACCGCCTTGCGAGATACAGGGGACTGAGAACCTTAGGAACCAGAACCATCAGAAGTCAGGTAGGGGACGAGGGGAGGTGGAAAAGGGCAGTTTGAAGGGCCAGGGACAATCAGGAGTGTTTGATCCAAAGCCAGGAGAAGCGGGTGTGTCGAATGCAGTGGAAGGGTCAAGGAGCATAAGGACCGGAGAGGATCCCTGGGTGTTGGCAGCCCGGGGTGCTCGGTGACTCGAGCAAGGGCAGTTTCTGTGTGGCGATGGCAGCGGCCAGGCTGGAGTGGGCTGAAGATAGCTGGGAAGTGAGAAAGCGTGACGGTGTGGGTACGCGAGTAGCTAAGCCTCAGTCTTTCAGCAGGTCCAGGGTGGCTGTGGATCAAGAGCAGTATTTGCTTTCTGTTTTCTGGAACATGAAGATGTTTCTAAGCTTAGCAGAGTGGCCCAGAGAAGAGGCCACAGAGAGAAAGGGAGATGCATACGTGCTGTTTGGGGAGATAGGCTCCAGAGCATGCTGGCTTGGCTTTGTAAAAATTCCTTTTTTAAGAAATAATTTAAAATAGGCTAGAGTCTAGCTCTATACCCTTTACCCACATTCTCTTATTGTTAACATGTTACCCCATTTGCCTTCTCATTTGCACTTTCTACCACTACCCTCTCTTGCCGCACTGTACGTAACCACACTTAACCTCATAGATTTATCTCGATGCTATGTTTTTATCGAATTTCTCGTCTCTGTTCCATTGTCACTTGATCTAATAATGTCCGTGGCAGCATCTTTCCTCATTTATTGCAGGAATTTTTCTTTGATGTCATGTCCCTTTAGCCTCCTTTAATCTGGAATATTTCTGTAGGCTTTTTTTTGCCTTTTTATAACATGGATATTTTTGAGGAAATAGCCTACCCCTCACTGTTCTTTTTTGTTTTGTTTTTTAAAAGAATAGCACTCATTTTGTGTTTGCCTGATGTTTCTCTGTAATTAGGTTGAAGTCTAGCATTTTCAGCCAGAATCCTGTTTAGGGGAATATGTCCCCCACAGGGTGCCACATTTGGAGGCACAAATATCTCTCTCATGGATAATATTAATTTTTATCACTGGTCAAGGTGCTGTCCAATTTCTCCATTGCATTATTTCTTTTTATGTTTCCTTCCCTTGCAACGAATAGGCAGTGTAGGGAGGGACATGTGTAAGATACTGCAAATATTCTGCTTCTCATCAAAATTTTCTCCTTGATTTGGCATCCATTCATGATTTTTGTTTGACCTAGTTTTTGCTATAATGGTTGCAAAATAATGATTTTCTAATCCCAGTGCTGCTTTTAGTTAGCTCTTGGCATTTTACCATAAGCAAGAGATCTCCCTCCTTCCTGAACTACCTACCTACCTTCCTTATCAGTATGGACTTGTGAATTTATATGCTTTTAATGGTTCATAATTCATTATCATCCTTATTTTAGTGCTCAAACTTATCACAGGTTTAACCACTGAGTTCCTCTTCAAGCTGGCTCCTTGTCCTTTTGATGGCCTTGATTTTTTTCCCTTTATTTTGAAAAATCTTTTTATTTATAAATGTTAGATTTATAAAAGAGATTACTGGATTGTTTTTTGTTTGTTTGTTTTTTGTATACAAGGTTTGGTATTACGTGTGAAACATGACTTAGAACAATATTGTTGCTAGGAGAATTTCCCCAGGTTGTTCAAACATTGCTTCTGTTCAGTGAGTTGCAACTTCTTGGTGAAGGTTTCCCTACATTTTTTTCTCTGGGTTTCTATGCAATATTCTGAACTAGAAGGAAGATTTCTGCCTTCTGCACAGTTTCCGCATTTCTTTGCATTGCTGAGGGGTTTCTTCCTTAGGGGTCCCCTGGCAGCCAGTGCGCGATTCTGTCTGGATGAAAGTCTCCCCGCACTCATGGCATTCATACAGAGCTTCTCTGCTTTGTGACATTTCTGATATAGCAGTGTGGCTGTTGCTGAAGACCCTCTCATGCCCATTATTCTCAGATTTTCTCCCTTATGTGCAATCTCTGATTCTGAATTAGGGATTTGACGTCACACAGAAGGCGTTTCTTTCCTCCACCAGTTCTTTGATGTATAGGGAGGTGCTATTCTGGAAGAAAGACTTCCCATGCTCTTTTCAGGTACAGTGAGTTCTCTGATGTGTAGAGTAAAGGTTGACTTCCAGCAGAACTTTTTCCCACATTCAATATCATGAGACCCCCCCCCCCATGTATTATCTCACATTTAGTAAGATATGACTTTGTAAAAAGGGTTTTTCACATGCACTAGCATTCGCATGGTTTCTTTCCTGTGTGGGTAATTTGATATACAGTGAAGAGAAAATTCTGGCAGAAGGTTCTTCCACCTTCTTCCCTGAGTGTTGTAAAATGAGGACTGATCTGTGGCAAATGGATGCTCCAAGTATCCATCACTTGTTTCCTCCCCTATGTTTTCTTTGTTTTCTGGTGTTTGAGAGAGAGTTGACTTGTGGCTGAAGATATATTCATGGAATTTACAAAATTTCCTCTCCTTTATGAGTTCTCTAATTCTTGAATTTTGACTTCATGCAGAAATATTTCCCACATTTGTTGCAGGGATAGAGCTTCCTTTTGATACGAATTCTGATGTACATTAGAGCTTTAAGTTTCGGACAAGAGTTCCTATGCATTCACTACATTCACGTGGTCTGTCCCATGCCTCAGTTCTCTCATATATATTGAAGGCTGCTTTATTATGGAACATTTTCTCAAATTCATTATGGCCCAAGGATTGCTTCAGTGCTGGAATTTTTTAGTCTTCCCTCTGAGGGCTTTTTGACTTTGATGATAAATGCTCCCCGACCTGCTCCCCTGTGTATTTCCTTGCATTTCATATCAAGGATATTACATCTCTTCTCACATCCACTTCTCAATTAGATCATTAGGATGCTTCCCTTCACAGCAGCTTTTCCTAATAATTAATTTTAAACTATATTTCAAACGTTCCAAAGTAAATTAGTCATCTGAGAAACAGGAAGACCGGGTCGGAGAGATGAGGTAAAAATGTAGGTGCTTAACACCTTGCTCCAAAATTCCTGGGAAAGGACTGTCCTGAGTCTACAAGCTTCCAGCCTTTTCCCTTCCTCTCCTGACCTTGATGTGAATATCAAATTAACTTTCTCAAAGCACCACTTTCTTCATGATTTAAAGGAATAGACTTGTAGCCAGCGTGCTAACTCTCTAGCTTCAGTTCGCATCCACTTGAAAGGGGAGACTGAAGACCGTAAACTTCCAAGAGGAATAGTAAATAGCCGTCCCAGCAGGACATCACCGCTGAACTCTGATTACTGCTGACATGATTTTTTCCCTTGGACCTTCCCAATACCAAACGAATTTCAGGCCACCAACTCCCCCTTTCCTCCTTTTCAGTGGCATAAGTCATATTTATATGTTCTTTTTCTTGCAGTAGGAGGGCTTATGCACAGATTAAATGTTTTTCCAAATATATCATCTCTCCTTAATGTTTTGATCTTGAAGAAGAACTGAAATGTTGGCCTTGGCTTTCTGGGAGCTATGCATTCAGGTAATCAACTTTCCAGAGTCCTTCTGGGTAGCTGTGACTTGGGAATTCTCCTGCTAGTTGCAGCTCTTATGTCCAGGCAGGGTCAGGCCACCGCTTCACATGCCCAGGATTCTCTATGTAGTGCCCAGTTGCTGCCCAGCTTCCTGGCTGAGGGCCAGACTCACATCCTGGACTGCCCCGACTTGGCAGAGCCCTGAGATGCACACATGTCACACAGTACCTAAACCTGGGTGCCCAGATCCTGCTTCCCATGAGCTCCTGGTCTCTCTAAAAGTGGGTCGTTTCTGTGGAGGTTCCTTGTGAAAAATCAAGAGTGGAAAGTTAAGTTAAATCCATTAGAAATAAGGGTAGAAAGTCTCTAGGACAGTCACACTGGGAGAATCTAAGGACAGCCAGAATGAAGAGCAAAAAGGTGCTAATAACATTTTTAATGCTTCTAACATAACAAACAAATATCAGCAAAAACTGTTCAGGTACCAGGATCTAGGAATTATATTAGTGGGAGAAAAAAATCAAGCCACTCATTTAAGGAAGCAGCAGATTACCTTGGGGTTGATTCCAATGTTCACTATTGCCTCCTTTATAGGGTTTTATTTCATTACAACCCTTGTTCTCTGTGATGCATTTTGTATCTTCTCTAAGCACAGAGAATGAAAACAGTTTGCAACTAGAAGAAACCTAGACATCTGTCATCTATTCCCTTTGTTAAAATGAGAAAACTGGGCTCTAGAGAGGAATAGTAAATATCTTAATCCTGGCATTTGATGGTTCTTTATTTGTTTATAAATACTTTTACCTGTCTCGCAGTGTTTATTATTATTAGTATAGATCTTATACCTACAATTTCCTAATGCCTGCCACATCTGGTGATGAGCATTATGTACGGATTGTTAACTTTAAGACAACTTTATGATATGAGGATTATATCTATTTTGTAAGTTAAAAATAAAATACTGAAGCTTAGAGAGGTTTAGTAATTTGCCCAGGGTGGCACAGCTGGCTAGTAAGCAGCAGACCACGGAGGTCTGATCTATAAGCTTACCCTCTCAACCAGTCAACAGAACTTTCCCTTGATTTTGATAGTGTCGTGAGTCATTATTAGTCATCGTGACAGAGTTGAGGCCAGCGTTCATTCGCTTGGGAACTGAGCTGAAGTCAGGAGTGGGTCAGCACACAGAAGGTAGGTTCCGTGCAGTTGGTAGATGTTGATGTCTAATTTGGTTCTCAGCTGCCCAGTGTTCAGAGCAAATAGGGAATCAGAACCAGGTATGGCGGTCCATACAGTGAAGCTCTTTTCTAGAGAGACAGTTTTCCAGGGTGTGGGATATTTCTTCTGCGATGTTCACGATGGGGAGACTGACGAGTGGGTGTTGATGTCCGCAAAACGGTTCAATAAATACGTTGGTGACTTTTGTGCACCTGTGTCTTAAGATTTCTTCAGTGTAGGCGAGGGCCTAATGCCAGACATGTCCAGGCAGTTCCGTGATGGGCAAAGATGATGTGACTTTATTGGGGGACATATTGTAGAGCATTTTGTACAAATAACAGCTGAAAACCACATGAGTGTTTCCCCACCAAATCCTCCCACAGCTGTGTGTGTTATCCCAGATCCATATAAAGTATGCCTTCAGGAAAAAGCCAGAACAAAGTACATCAGAATTTTATTTTATTTTATTTTAGATTGAGTTTGTTTTTTTGTTTTCCTTTCTGTTCCCTTACTACCCTTTTAGAGCAGTGAACTTATTTTGCTTTCATGCTTAAAAAGAAAAAGCTTTCTAGGAACTTTTAACCTTTACCTTTGAATGATGGGAAAATCAAAGAGATTGATTTGTCATAAAGGTGATTACGGACTGTTTGACTCAGTCATGCTATCCAGCGTCAGTTCGATTGAAAAGTAATTTGTGGATGCCAAGGTTAATGGCCAGTTGGCTCATGTGCTTTTATTTATTACTGTCCTGTCTGATTTGTTTTGAACCAGGCAGTTGACTATTAAATATATTCTTGACCCAAATTTAAATTTCCATTTTCTAGTCTTTTAAGTTCTTTGTAAGCACCTATATCCACAGTATATCCAGTACAACTAGGTTTTGTTTCACTTCAGATTTTAATTGACTTCTTAGTTCTTTTGTATAATCAGGAAACTGCATACACATTAACATTACCTTTTCTTGAAACATAATCCTGGGGTCATTCTGTGGTATTACCCAGATATTCAACCCTAAATTTTTCTTTACCCACTTAAGAGGATGCTAAGTTTCAATGTAGGGATAGAAAAAAGTTAGGAGACGCAGACACTGACCTAACAAAGACGTTAAAAAAATGCAGGGTAGGGAGGGTGAAAGAGAAATTGTCACTTCTTTCATGATCAGATGTCACTTGTGTTCTATTAGACGAGAAAACCTCTGAATGTACAGGAGCCCACCTTCCCTTCCCGCCGGGCCGAGGAGGAAGGATGGGTGGGACTTGGAAAGGGGGCAGCACAGAAGAGAACTGCCCCTGGCCCGCCCCGCACCTGCCGGGGCCCGAGAGGCTGCGGGACTGGGCCTGAACTGAGACTTACCCACACACTCCGCTCCCGCAAAAACGCTGCCCGCCGCGTGTACCTGGCTGAGGCACTGTTAGCGGTACAGAGAAGGGGCTTTGTCCCTCACTCTCCACAGCTGGCGATGGAACAGGCCAGGGTGGCACTTTCTCCTCCGGAGGGGTCTTTCTGCGGCCTTTCTCGCAGGCCCTCTTCTCCACGGCGTCCAGCTCAGTGGCTGAAATTTCTTCTTCCAGATCCCTGTCCCTCATTTTACGGTACCCCCTCTTCCCTGCCCCCGCTCAGATCTGCATACCCCAAACTCTCAGCTGTCGCTGGAATCCACCCTGGGAAAACTCTCAGCCCTGCACCAGCGCGGCGGACGGTGCCACCTGGGGGCGGGTGGCGGCGGCAGAGGAAGCCGCCCGAAGGAAGCTGCGAGTTGGGAAGGGGGCTGAGGGCCAGTTTGCCTAGAAGGAGTCCTGAAGCTTTAAATTCCAGAATAAGGCACCAGGACCTCGCACTGGTAACACCAAGGAACCTTGGAAGGCTCGTGAGCAGGAGGTGCATGTAATAAAAAAGGTAACAGTTCCTGTCCGCGTTTGATTGAAATTAGGTTTGTTGGTTCAGATTTTTCTATTCTGCCCTAAACTGTTTTACTCTTCCTTGCCAGTTTCCTCCCAAAGATATAGTAAAACTTGATTTCTTCCATTAAAGATGATTCTTTTCTCTTTATTTTACTCTTATGCAAGAAGATGAAATAAAATATTAGTCCTCTGAATTTCCTTACCCATCTCACTGTGACAACACGTCATTGATGCCACTTTCACCTTCTGTCCTTACTGTATTTTATGTGAACACATTTTATCTATTTTTTCCCCCCCTCCTGGCCTCCAGAAATGATCACCTGAAGTTTATTTCCCAAACTAGAGAAGGCTTGCATTATACCTTTAAAAAGGTACACCTTTTAAACCCTCATTTTCAGGCATTTTCAATGCCTGGAAAAATTAATATGTGGCATAAATGGACACGAACCCTCCCTTTTCTACTAAGTCTAGGGCCAGACTTACAGTCTAAGTATGTTGGCAATTTTATTGTTTTCTCCTTCACTCTCCCCAGGTTTATTGCAGTTTCTAATTTAAGCTCCCGTGATGGCCAAAACCAGACCAGTGCTTCATTTTCAAGAGGATTTCTCTGTGTGCACAGACCCCTGAAGCTTAGACCTGTGAACCACAAAATATATATACGTAATGAAATTTTCAGAGAAAATATGTATATAGTTTCATTGGACTTTTTGAATATATCCACCCTCCTAGGAAATTGCTTTAAAAAAAAAACAAAAAGAGAAGAGATAACATTTCCTAATCTGTTTCTCTATATGACGTGTCTATGTCACATGTATTTGGGAAGTAAAATATATGCATTATAGAACATGAAAAGTGTCCAATTTGCTAAGAGTGGTTTAAATTTTTTATTTATTGATTGATTTGAGAGAGAAATATCGATTTGTTGTTCCACTTATGCATTCGTTGGTGGTTTCTTGTATGTGCCCAGATCAAACCCTCAACCTTGAGGTATCGGGATGACACTTGAACCAACTGAACTATGCAGCCAGGGCTGCCAAGAGTGGTTTATAAAATGGAAGGAAACGTTTCCAATGGTGTGGAAAGTGCAGAGACTAGCAGATACTAGCAGGATTTGTAAAGATCATTGGTCCCGTGGTCTCTAAGGCATAATCCTCAGCCCTGGGTCCGGTGCGGGCACTTCCTGGAGCACTGTTGGCCAGGGAATGGTGGGGAGACCACCTCGCTCCAAACCAAATAGCTCTGTCTTCAACCCCTGTACACATTAGGCTTTGCCACAGCTTAAAAGAAAAAAAAAAAGGGTGCACACTACTGATAGAATCCAGCTGCCCAGGAGATTTCTGAACACCTTCTGTAGACAGATTAATAATAAACTCAGATAAGCCACTGGTTTGTGGTTCCTGACCTGTGATCCTCATGTAGCTGCAGTCAAGTGCATTTAAGTGATTAGTGAACAGTGTACATAGAAGACCCAACATTGTGTTTGAAAGGAGAATGTTTCGAACGTATTCTTTCCCTCCAGGGGTGGGCACAGGTAATGCACGTCTCATTGGGTATGAAATCTGATGACAATAGAATTACTAAAAGTCTTCTTGAAGTAATTTTGGGTTTGAATATTGGAACAGCAGGTGGAGCTAGTAGGAAGACCTCTATTTCTAGGCCATTTAAAGAGCAGCAAGGTGCACAAAACTTGCATTCATGTGTTTGCGTTTCATTTCTTCTTTTTTTTTAATCTTTATTGTTGGGGGTGGGAAGAGATTAACCAAAGAATTTATATGCATAGCCCATGCGTTTGCATTTCAGAGCTGCAGGAATAGCAAGCTGCTATGCATTGGCTTTGAAAGTGATCTTACCACTACAGTGTGACAGCCAAGCTGAATGCCAAGTTCCCTCTCCTTTTTAAAGAAGGGGCTTGCATTTGGAAATGTGTTGCCATAGAAGATTAAAACAAGTTAAGGGCATGTGGGGTTAGGGGGCAGTGAGGGTGTGTTTACATGGTTTAATATTAGTTGATGACTTTTAGAGTATTGACTTAAAAAAATAAGATGTATGATCCTGTGAGAAAATAGTGTCATAGAACTTGATTTTATATATATATACATAATATATATATGTATGTAGTTATTTGTGTTATGAGCTTGTTTCTCTCTTTAAGTGGTGATAAGCATAAAGTTGAATCCACATTTTCGCCTAGGAAAAGCTAAAGGACATCTACTTTTAATCCCACAAGATTATGAAATAAAGACCTGGCTACTTTATAGCTCCAAATATCAATTAGTTTTCTGAATATGTAATTTAAAAGATATAAAAGTACTCATGTACCTTTTTTTTTTTTTTTTTTGTGAATCACATATTGAACCAGGGAATTTTGCTTTTTTTCTTATTATTTTCCTAAATCAGATGCAATGATAAGTAAAGAGCAAATGTTATGCATGCATTTTCCTTTCCCTCTGAATTTTGTGTTTTTTTTTACTATATCATATGCATTTAGAAACTGTAGTTTCTAAAATGATGATTTATTTTGCTAACTATGTGAATAAAAACTGACCTACTTTTTTGGCATTTGTTTACAAAGTTACAAGATCAATTAAAACACATTGTAATGCTTTTTGCTGAAAACTAGAAATAATATCTTCCTATTATTTTATTCACTTATTCAACAAACATTAATGAGTGCCTACTTATGTGTGAGGTAATGTGCTAAGCACTGGGGATAAAAATTTGGACAATAGACTGCTTTCCCTCAACATGTCTCAGGCAAACGTGTGGCCAAATAATTACCACAGGACCCAACAGAGTCTGTGACTGTGTTATTATTATTTTATTTTTAGAGAGAAAGAGAAACATCAATTGGTTGCTTCCTGCACATACCCCGACTGGGAATCAAACCCACCACCTTTTGGTGTACGGGACCATGCTCCAACCAACTGAGCCACACGGGCCGGGGCTTATGACTGTTAATGGACAGAGGCCTGTTGGGTCTCTGAAAAGGGACTCAGCTGAAAGAAACCAGGGTAGCCTTCAAAGAGGAGGCCAGCCCTTGCTGCATCTGGAGGGAGATGTAAAAATTCCCAAGGAGACCCAACATTTCAGGCAGTGTGTCCAACATGTGCACAAGTATGGGGGTGTGAAAGAGCCGACCATCTTGGGGAGACATCAGGAATTTGCTAGGGAAGCTAGCGAGGTAGCTGGGGCTGGACTGTGAAGGGCCCCTAAGATATGCCATGGTCAGTGAATACATTATTCAATTCCAGCTAACCTAGATGCTATTTAGTTGATTAGCTTTTGGTGGTCATGAAACAAGTTACGGATTTGATCCTGTGGGAACATGGGATGATGACTTCAGTTTTAAATACGTTCTCTGGTCACAAGAGTGAATGGTTGAGGGGGACGCTGCATCAGCACATACCCTGACTACTTCGGGGGGAATCGCCGCATGTGCGAATTCCGTACTGCACGTATGTGTTCAGCACACCCCAAGCACTCTCGTAGGTGCTGGGAGACAGGCCTTGTTGCCTAGAGTATGTCCACCTGCCTACCTGACTTTTGCTCTTGGTCGTCTCCAAAGCATGGGACACTTAAGTCCAAATCACACTCTCATCTCGGCCCCCAATCCTGCTCTTTCCCAAGTCTTTCTCAGCTCCTTACATGACTCCTCCAACCACTGAGTACTCAAGCCAGATCCTAGGGGTTATTCTTGACGTCTCCCTCTTTCTCACCTGCCTCATCTAACCCTCTGTCTATCGTGAAACACGTCTGGACACCTTCCTCTCCTCCATTCGCACTGCCAACACCCTAGCAGCCACGTCTCTTGCCAATAGGCTCCTAACCGGTCTCCCTTTTTACGCGTTGCTTTCTCCCAGTCCTTTTTCAAGGTAACAGCCAGGAAGATCTTTAAAACATCTAAATCAGTTAATGTCACTTCCCAATTCAAACCTTTTATTTTTTATTGACTTCCTATTGTAACTTAAATAAACCCAAATGATTTCCTGTGGTCCCCAAGGGCCTGCCCATCTCACCAACCCCATCCTGTGTCGCTCTCTCTCGCTCACTACATCCCAACCACAATGGCCTCTTCCATTCCTCTCACTTCTCACCCTTGGCAGCTGCTGTTTCCACTGGCAGGAACCCACTTCTTCCCATCTTCTAGCCAGTTGGGATGTTCTCGTCATTTAGGCCTTAGTGTAGATATTACCTGCTCTAAGAGATCTCTCCTCACCAGACTCCCCTGCTGGAGAGTTTCTATGACTCTTACAACCTCCTGTTTTTCCCTCGTTGCATGTGCCCCAGTTTATAATTATGTCTGTGTTTGTGACTGAAACTGTATAATCACTGTTTCTCCCACTAGACCAGTAGCTCCCTTGGGACTAGAATCATGTGTGTTCTCATCGCCCCTCTGTTTCCAGAGCTTGACACAGTGCATGCGGCACACAGTGGGCCCTAAAGAGTTGTAAAGGAATCATCTCAACACATAAAGATAGAGCGACTTTTTTGGTTGCTAAATCTTTAACTACAAATAAGAAAACGTGTGGAAACTGAAGAAAATTATTTTCTATGTTTTCCCTACCATTGGAACTATTTTAGGAAGGGTATGCAGCTCCGTGTGACCTTACCAAAAGGAAAAGGGTGTGAGTTTTTAGAAATTAGCATGTGGTTATTGTGTGATTTGGGGCTATTTTTAAGACAGTGATACATTTTTTTCTAATGGAAATCCAGAGGTATAAAAATGAACTGCTCTTCTTATATATTTAGGGCTCAGGTCACTAAGATGTTTAACTTCTTGGCCGCGCTCTTTAAACCTATTACAAAGATCACATTAGAATTCATTTTAATAGACTTTGTAAGCACAGCATCCAACCTCATATGATCCTGCTGGGCTCTTTTATTATGAGAAGCATGGGAAGCAGAGCCAGGGGCTGCAGAACAGTCGTCGGTGCACCCGGGGCTGGGGACGGTGCCAGCTCTATTGTTTATGGAATATTCTCTCCACTTCTATCCGTGGTATGCAATTGGTATTGACTTTTGAGAAACTACTTCTTTGCCCCGATCTCCCAGTTGGGGAAAAAACCTGCGGTAATGACACCTGGCTAGGAAAAAAGGGATCAAAGCAGCAGAAGGAAAGAAAAATTATGAGACCTTGTTTAATATGTAGTTTGGGGTCCGTCTGCTAGATCTGTTTTAGGAAAGCGTGTTCCATTTTTGCGAGGTCACCATTCCTTTGTCCCTTGGACATGCCCAGCGAATGGAACCTCTGTTATTTTTGCTATTGGCTGCTAGTGTTGGGTCTGCTTAGCATTTAGCAGAATGTCTTTTTGACTTCATAGATCTTTAGGAGTAAATACTGTCCACTAAAATTAAGATAAATGTGTTGATATGTATTCTTATTTATGTTTTGTTTTTTCTTAAAGAGGAAGGCAGTCATTTTTAGAAAAATTTTCCCCTCCACTTGTAGGTGTATCACTTGAGGAGTTTTTAAACCTTGTAAGGAAAAAGAAGGAAGCTCAGCTGTATCGGAATGAAATAAGACACATCTTCACAGCTTTCGACAGGCACTGTAAGTCTCTTTAAAGTGTTTTGAAATTAAAAATTGCTATTAAAGACTGTGACTGGGAACGTATACTCAGTACTTCAGATAAATACACTTGGAGGTTTATTTTACTGTCCTTATTAGCTGTTACCTTGGATGTTGGTGTGAATTTTTTTCTCCATGGTGACTTTAAATTCTTGACATTTACCATGGATGAAAAAATGTTAACAGTTATATAATTGTACTTATGATTATAATCAGGACAGCAGAAGGGCTGGCCGTGAGGTATAGGCCATGAGCCACCTATGGAGGTGTGGAAGACATATTGCGTCTCCCTCGACTCCTGCTTTAACCCGCATATTACTGGAGGAATTGTTTTCCCACATGGGACGTGGCCTAGAGGAGTGACTCCAAGACCCCCTATGCCCCACACATCTCACACAGGATGAAAATACTCATGGAGTCCAGGTTCAGTACCTTGGCTGCTGTTATGGTTTTTCTCTCAATATGATTATATAGAATTCTAATACCAAGAAAGAAGAAAAAAAGTGAACTTTGAAGAATAAATTGTTTTGGTAATTTAGACTTGACGCCTAATGCTGTTACTGCACTGTATGTCTCTATAGTCCTTCCCCTGGGACTCAGAGAACCCACGAATGACAGGGCTGGAAGTGACCTTCCAGGTCACCTGGGACTGCACTGAGGAGAGTGTGAGTGGATTCTTAAATTCTTCCAATGAGACAATCTCACATCACCTAACATGTAAAATCAACTAAAACTACTGCTCTTCTCCTAATAACATGTTAAAGTATCATGCAAGTTGCATGGCTGAAATAATAGTTCAGAGGGTTAATAGAGGTAAAGAAATGTTTTATGTTTTGTTTTCAAATAGATCGTGGGTATTTAACTCTGGAAGATTTCCAAAAAGCATTCAAGCAGGTGGCTCCCAAGTTACCAGAAAGGATTATTCTCGAGGTTTTCAGGTAAGGCACCAAAATCTCCACATGCTCCCCAAGCCCTTGATTTACTATCTGCTTTTACAAGTTTTTGGTTTTATGGAGAACACCTCCTTATACTGATTCTTCACTAGTGAACATTTTCGCCTCATAGTAGATGGTCATGCTGCAAGAGAGAAATTTATAGTCAGCTATTCAGGCAGGCACCGATGCCCTCGGCAGTGGGTGCTTGCACACCACGGAGGTGCCTAAGAGCGTTTGGCAGGGGTGGGAGAGTGACAGGAAGAAAGCAGGACTTGTTTGTGTATTTATGAATTGACCAAAACCAATGAAGCTTCAGCATTTAACATGGATGTTGGTGCTCTCCCATGGTCTGCATTGCATCAGACACAGGCTGCACATGGTTCTTGAGTTGCCTGGAGAGAAGAATTGGGTTGCTTAACAGTGGCCCCCTCGACGCAGTGCGTGCATACCTGATGAAGCAGATTTGAAGAGTATGTTATGTTATCTTTATGAACTATTTGGGACACAATGGGCAAGTGGCTTAAAAGCAACTTCTGTTAGGAAACTGCAGGTTGAAGGTAATATGCTGACATGAGAAAATGGTGGAGCTGCCTCTTCTCTGACTACCGGTGTCAGCTCTTTGTCGCCTGTTACCAGGTGTATTAGTCAGGGCTCGGTACAGCAGCAGGAGCTAGAAAACCCAGATAGCACAGCTCAGGAAAGATAGCAATGTACCTCTCTCACGTAAACACAGCAGTCCAGGGCCGATTCGATGGCAACGTACTCACGAAGGACCTGGGTTCCCCCTTTCTTGTTCTGGCTGCTCCCACACCTGGCTTCTCCCTCCTGCTTCAAGGATTGCTTAAATTTCAGCCATCACACTTGAACTCCAGCCAGGTAGGAGGAAAGGAAAAAGAAGATATGCCCTCCTTTTAAGGCCATCGTCCCCGTGACCAAAACTCACATTCAAGGCCATGTGGGAAATGTCATCCTTGCTCTGGGTGGTCTTGTGCCCTCTGAGTTTCTGATACTGAAGGAGAGGATGGCTATTGAGGGACATCTGGCAGGTGTTCCCATTTGGGATAAAAATAATTTGATGAAATCTGACCAGCAGTCAGCTCTGCCCATTAGAAATGATCAAGTAGGTTATTTGAAATAAGGATTTGCGCTCGCTATTATTGACAGTGACATATATGAAATTCTTCTGCTGCATCATTCACAGGCAAGTTGTTGAGCAAACTACTGAAGGAGAGCAAAGCAGTTAAAGGCACATGCAGACTGTGCCATAGGATGGCATTGCTTAGTTGATTCTGGAACAGCAGGTTCTTTAAAATATAACAGTATTTTTGTACACACTCTGTGATGAGATGTGTCATGAATGTCAATGTATTTCTACCACACAGGGGTTGTTGTAACAAGAGAACAAAGAATTGTTACTTTATTTTCCTTTTACCAAAAGACAGGTGTCCAAATTTGCTGACCTTTATGTGTTAAGCAGTTTCAGGAGGAGCTACTTCATAGAAGTTTTTGAACAATACACTTAAATATAGCCATTCAAGGTAGAAGTAATGTTTTAACCATGAGTGAGAGTACCTGCTTCTCCAAAGAAACCCTTGCTACCCAGAGAGCATTTTTTGGAAATGGATATTTGGAAATGTGATTTTTAAAAAATTATGTGCATCACCTATTAAAACCCTTCACATCTGCATGTTTAATACATTGAAAATAGAATGTCCTAATCTGGTGAAAAAAAATCTTACAAAGTTTCATTGCTTTTAGAACACAGTTTTTAAAATATAAAAATTTGATAGCTTTCATAAGCTTTCAAGAGCAACTAATATCAGGAAAGATGGACATTTACATGCTGAATGGCAGTTAGCAGTAATGTCAAAGTAATCATTAAAAAAACAAAACAACCCTAAACCTTTTCCTTATTCGAGGATGGATTTAAAAACCGAGGGACTCGGCACCACGATGCCCTTTTCCATTCATATCTGCACATCTTCGTGAGATGTCTCTGACAGCCATCCAAATCAAGTATTAAAACAAATTGCTCAATCACAAAGGATTAAACTGAGATGTTCAGGAATAACAAAGTATATTAAGTCATGTTCTTGATAAATATGATGCATAATTTCTGATGACAGCAGAAAGTCATTTGTCATTAACAAATAAAATATTTGCATCTTTAATTCTTTAGAATTTCTACATTATGCTTTATAATGCACATTATGTGAGTAACATAGTAGCACATGTGCATATATAAATAAATGTATTCATAGGCTCATAGACTTCATCTTTCCCAGGATTATGTGATCAAAGCAGTTTGGGGACCACTGCAATGTACAACCAAGCAAGGCATTTTAGTTCATTGAACCTGCCCTGTTTAAACTCCCTTTTGTATTATTTCTTTATGGCACTACTTCCCTAGGCCAGAATAAATGATGCATAATAAGTATTCAATGAAGTAGTGAAACCAAAAAAGGAGAGAAAAGTATCTCCTCCAAGTGTAAATTGAAGTAGCCCAAGAAACAGAGATGTCCAACTTCCAGACACCTCTCTGTTTTGGCGGCTGTTTTCAGGAACAAGGAAAGAACCAGTGATGCACAATTACGTAGTGTTTCTAAGGTTAGGCACTTGCTTTCTGAGAAGCCTGAGTGGCGTTTGTCTTAATTGACCAGCACAAATGGAGTTCATTTCCCAGGTCCACAGTTACGCAGGAGGGAGGTGGTGTCTGAAGATTACTAGAAGGCAGCTGAGAAGGGAGGCTTCTAATTGGAGCGGATTCATCTGTGCTTTTAATGACGGAAGTTTTCATAATCTTCACTTCATTGACTGCCAGAGTCTTCCCAGAGCAACTCCTAAGATCAAGAGCAGTCCCTTTCAGAAGTCCTTGCCCATATTACACTTCCCTTTTACAAGCTAAACCAACAAAGCCCACCAGTAAAACCAACCAAACAACCAAAGTGAGCAATTAAAAAAGACAGACTTGGGGCATAAGGAGTGAAAGAAACATTTCACTTTATAACGTGGTAGAAACACTGGTGTGTCGCTGATTAAATCTGAGGGCGTTCCAAGGACCAAACGAGAGACTTGTATATGGTTTGTGAATTGTTGCCTCACTACTATGGTTATGCCTACTTTAGTGATTTTTATCATGAACAAAAGCAGTGTCTTTTTAAGTATATCGTCAGAGTTCCTAACAGTCACATTCTGTTCTGCAACCATAACCTCTTGCGTTTTAATGTAACTTCTACAGTTAAATGGATTCCGAGCTCACTTCCAGGCCTCGTGCTATATAGTTTCTGTTTAGCTGAAGTTGACCATCTAATAGGGATCGTGAGAACTATCTCCCCTGGTGTCTTTTATGTTCAGAAATGTTCATCTGGGCCATTTTCCTTGAATCAAAGGGCTTCATGGATTGAACATTAACATTTTCACGTCACTTGCTTTTTTCTGTAAGAACACTGCTTACGTTGGAAGTCCCTTTAAATGTATTGTTAATTTCGGTGTCATTTGCTTGTTTCGCTGAGGTCTCTTAGTATATCTTCAGTGATGCCTGTTCTCCCCTCTGCTGCCTCCAGTATGGCACCCCTCCTATTATGGTTTTATTTTTCTCCTACATTTCTTTCTTGAGCTGTATCTGCTGATGTTTCATTTCCTTTTGTTATTTTGCTGTATTTTATATCTCCTCTAAGCTTTTCTGTATCTATTTTCAACTCTTGTTTTATAGAGGTGCTTGCTTTATTGGGAGAAACAATGATCTTTTAGATTTTATTTTTAATGGGTGATTGCTTAGGGGCTGCTATTTTAGCTTTTTAAGTATAAGTTAAGAAAAGCAAGTTTTTTACTAAAGGAAGGCTTTTGAGGGACAAGGCTACTTTCTTAAGCCAAGAGATGATACCTTGTGTAAAAAACAAAAATTGGTACGTTTGTTATTCTGAGAGATAAAATGTTTAATATTTGGATTTCAGAATCTGAGGTCCCTTTCAGTGTCTAAAACATAATTTCCACTTAGAGCCAAGAGTCGTGATTTGTATGTTTGTGCTCTAAAATAACTGAGTGTGTTTGCGTAACTAAAGCAACTTCTTCTACCCACCACGAATGGCAGAAGTTCAAGAGGTATGAGAACTAACAATACTCTATACAATAGAATTAATGTGAGCTAATAGGTTGTTTCTAGCACAAAAAGGTTAAAACAAACAAACAAACAAATCCTTTTTAATATTAATGGAACTTACTGAAAACTTTGTAGTGCTGTCTTTTAAAAAAAGTTCAAAATCTTCAGCGACTCTAATGGATCAAGTTAAAAGTATTTAACCTGGCTGTCCAACATCTGGCCACCTTTCCAAACTCATCTTTCATTAGCCCCTAATCCCAGTGTTTTCCTTGGCCCCGTGCTTGTTCCTGAGAGTGTGTGAGGTGTGTTTACACTTCATTCTGTTTCCCTTGCCGGCAGTGCCTTCCTCTGCTCCGTCTGTCCAAGTTTGACCTGTCTTTTCAAGGTACTGCTCAATAAAGCCTGTTTTCTTTACATCCAACATTCTTGTCTCTTTTCTCTAAATTTTGACTGTACCTATGATTGTGTATTTTGTTCAGTCACTTACCTGGTAAACAAAAATACAGTGTTTAGGATTATCTCTGTAGACTAATGGGAGCTCCTTGGGTTTATGAGCTTATCTACAGCTTCTTCCACTGTTCCCAGCCTATTGCTTTATGCACTGTAGTTACTTAATAAATAAGTGTTGGTCCATTGTCACTCTAAATACCCAGCAATGGTAAAATTTCCACTTTGTGGATTAATTTACTTCTTATAAACTAAGAAAGAGGACATTAAAATGCAGTCAGGAGCTTTGCTCCCCATTTTTCTCTCTCTACGTGTGATTTTCATGCATTAATCTCCGATGGCCCCGTCTTGCTTTATTTTGGGGACATTTTCCGCTCGTGATTTGGCCTCTGCTGCCATCAGGAGCCGGCTGATGCCGTCTCTGACCCTGCCCGCCAGCAGCGCCCTGTGCTCTCTGTGGCTGGCGTCTCCCCGCGTGCATGTCCCTTCTCCGCGCTGAGAGGCTTCTCCATCGCGTCGTGAGCACTGAGGTTTGCATTCCCACCGCCTGTCAGTTGGCGGAAAGCGCTGGGAATCTTCTGCTTCCCAGCCGTGGAAGGAAACGTGGATGTGTGGAGAGCCCACCCCCGACCCGGCCC